AATTTTTCGAGTCAATATTTTCCTCAAAAAAAATAAAATATCATCAACTATCCTCACGATGACGATGATAAAATTAATCATTAACTCTTTCTATCCTCGGATCAAGGGTAAACTCTTTCTATCCTCGGATCAAGAGTAAAACTCTTTCTATCCCCGGATCAAGAGTAATAAACTCTTTTTATCCTCGGATCAAGAGTAAAACTCTTTCTATCTTCGGATCAAGAGTAAACTCTTTCTATCCCCGGATCAAGAGTAGTAAACTCTTTCTATCCTCGGATCAAGAGTAGTAAACTCTTTCTATCCCCGGATCAAGAGTAATAAACTCTTTCTATCCCCGGATTAAGAGTAAACTCTTTCTATCCTCGGATTAAGGGTAAACTCTTTCTATCCTTGGATCAAGAGTAATAAACTCTTTCTATCCTCGGATCAAGAGTAAACTCTTTCTATCCCCGGATCAAGAGTAATAAACTCTTTCTATCCTCGGATTAAGGGTAAACTCTTTCTATCCTCGGATCAAGAGTAATAAACTCTTTCTATCCTCGGATCAAGAATAACCTCTTTCTATCCCCGGATCAACAGTAATTAACTCTTTCAATCCTCGGATCAAGAGTGTTGCCTCAGATAAACTCTTTCTATCCTCGGATCAAGAGTAATTAACTCTTTCAATCCTTGGATCAAGAGTGTTGCCTCGGATGAACTCTTTCAGTCCTCGGATCAAGAGTAATTAACTCTTTCAATCCTTGGATCAAGAGTGTTGCCTCAGATGAACTCTTTCAGTCCTCGGATCAAGAGTAATTAACTCTTTCAATCCTCGGATCAAGAGTGTTGCCTCAGATAAACTCTTTCATTCCTCGGATCAAGAGTAATTAGCTCTTTCAATCCTTGGATCAAGAGTGTTGCCTCAGATAAACTCTTTCAGTCCTCGGATCAAGAGTAATTAACTCTTTCAATCCTTGGATCAAGAGTGTTGCCTCGGATGAACTCTTTCAGTCCTCGGATCAAACCTTGGATCAAGAGTGTTGCCTCGGATGAACTCTTTCAGTCCTCGGATCAAGAGTAATTAACTCTTTCAATCCTCGGATCAAGAGTGTTGCCTCAGATAAACTCTTTCTATCCTTGGATCAAGAGTAATTAACTCTTACAATCCTCGGATCAAGAGTGTTGCCTCAGATAAACTCTTACAATCCTCGGATCAAGAGTGTTGCCTCAGAATAAACTCTTACAATCCTCGGATCAAGAGTGTTGCCTCGTATGAACTCTTTTAGTCCTCGGATCAAGAGTAATTAGCTCTTTCAATCCTTGGATCAAGAGTGTTGCCTCAGATGAACTCTTTCAGTCCTCGGATCAAGAGTAATTAACTCTTTCAATCCTTGGATCAAGAGTGTGTTGCCTTGGATGAACTCTTTCAGTCCTCGGATCAAACCTTAGATCAAGAGTGTTGCCTCGGATGAACTCTTTCAGTTCTCGGATCAAACCTTGGATCAAGAGTGTTGCCTCGGATGAACTCTTTCAATCCTTGCATCAAGAGTGTTGCCTCGGATGAACACTTTCAGTCCTCGGATCAAGAGTAATAACTCTTACAATCCTCGGATCAAGAGTGTTGCCTTGCATAAACCTGAACAAATAAAGTCCTTCGACTCAATTTCTATGAACGAATTATTTGGGAAATTGAAACAAAACCCAACTCATTTTTTCAAATAGAATTGGGTCTCGGGGGCTAATTGTTTGGGTACTAAAATGGTCATACCCATTTTAGTCTTGGGTAACTCTACCCATATAAGCCCAAAGGGCATAAAAAAGGTATAAAAGGCCCCAAATAAGTCAAATACATCAATATGGCCTTCAACGGCCCACATATGTAATTTTAGGGCTCATAAACCCACTTATGTACTCATATAAATACCCCTCAAAGGGCATAAGGTAAAAAGGGGTCACTCTTATCATCTAAGATGACCATACTCCTCCACTCTCTCCTCTAAACTCCTCTCAAAATATGCATTGTTTGGCAACTAACTTGGGCGTCGGAGGCTCCGCCCCGGGTTCAACCCCCGGGGCTCGGGGTTCATTTTGCAGGTCCATTCAAGGCCCAAATTCGAGGTTCTCAGACACCCCTCCAAGGCCCGGTTAGCTCATTTTTTGCCGAAACACAGGGTATTCGTAGTGTAATCGTCTTTGATTTTCCTACATGAATTATTTTCTACAGGCCAGTTTCTCCTTTTGGAGCTTCTTTACTTTTTTTTTTTTTTTTTTTTTTTTTTTTTTTGCCAGACAATAATGAAAACGTTGCATCTCAAATGCTTGTACCACCTGGCATCTATAATGATGTTCCATGAGATTTCGTGCTGTGAAAATTTGCAGTATATAGTGTAAATAGGTAGCACCGAAATGTTGCGGGCAACCTGAATCATTACTTTTTGGTGGAAATTTTCTGCTAGTTTATGAATGGCAGTCACTTGTAAGGACTAAGGATAATACTGTCTGGACTCTGGCCCTCCATATATATTACCTATGAGTAATCATGTTACATTACTAGTGGTTTTTTAGATTCCAATTCAGAATGTTGTGTATCCATTGAACTTTGGGAGAAACCAGTTGTTATTGGCACTGTCCAATATTAAATCATGCACAAGCTGATACTCACTTTGCTCCCAAATGACTGTCTATTGGCTTTTACCAATAATAAGAAGTGTTGTTAATGAATACGTTTTGATCAATAATGTGTTAGTATAGCGAGAATTTTAATTGATGATTGAATGAATAGCATTTATCAGCCTGAGAGGGCAATAATATAAAAGGAGGAATATCATTGTCGGGTAAAGGTCCTTTTTTGGTTGCAAGAGACGAGGAGATAATCTGGGTTTGAATCGCAGTATTGGAAAATTTTCATATCTCTGCCTTTCTGGTCTGAGTTTGACATAGGAAGTACTGTGTAATTTTATATATGGGTGTCAGACCCTGGTTCCTCAGGCTTGAATGACAGGTGATTTGAATTGGATATGCTCGTCTTTGTTCATCATTAGTTCAGAGTCTTCAGACAGTGTAGGATAATATACTGTGGGCCACTAGGCATTAATAAGTTCATGCTGATGCAAATGGTTGCCATGGGTTGAGAAGTTTGGGTGTATGCTCAAGGGGTCAAGGACGTTAGATGTGGAGGTTTCTTATGTGATTCATAGAGAAATTGAAGATAATGGAGTCTGGATTGTCTTGGAAAAATATTATTAAGTGTTAATGGGAGTAGTTCTTGCCACTTTAGATTTCTCTGAGTTATCTGTTGCAGTTACCGAACTACAGAACAAACTGCTGAAGTTTGTCTTTCTTCTTTAATGGAACTTCTTTGCTAGACAAAACCAAAGACTAACCTTAGTCATTTCAACGTAATTATTTTAAACTCTGACCATTTTGAGCTGTTGGATATTTCTTATGAAGTGTTTTTTTGTGTAGAGCAAGCTGTTCAATTGTTTCAAAGATAATGTTTGTTTGATCATAGTAATATTCCTTCAGCATATTGTATTTATGTAAAATTTTCCACAGCCTGATATTTTTTCATTTTGTATTTCTGTGTTGGAAATATCTCAATTATAAGCTGTCTTACACTATAGAAACTGAATTTTTGCATCTTTGCGCAAATATGTTTTCTATTTTATAAGTTGATGATAATTTTGTTATTTTTGCATCTTGTCTTGCTCATATCGTTTGGAATATTTCTCTATTTGTTTACATTTTGGCATTGAAACTTTCATTTTTACAATTTTACTTAAAAACAATGTGATGAAACCTTGCAGAAGGGAAGAACCTGATGGACCAGTGGCTCTCCTCACTGCAAAACTTCTGAAGGCTCACCATCATAGTTTGTTAATAAATAAGGTGGTGGTTCTTGTCGTGTGTTTGGAGTTTGAAGCAATTGGCCATTATATCTATGTTAAATACAAGTATGAAGGTTTGTGGAAAAACAGAAGAATCTTAAGTGTCCACAAGGCCAGGAGCAGAGAAGATCGAAGATGATAACAGTCTGGACACAATAAAGATGTTGTTGCAGTGCTGCTATAAAGGTGTTCTTAACTGCGATTAATTCAAACCAAAATGGGTTGCTGAATCTTTTCCTTAATATTCCGAACCATTGTACATACCATTAGGATGTAAATAATCTTGTAATATGATTATGCTTGATTCCAGCTTCCATTCTGAAGTAGTCTGTAAATATTCAGCTCTCCTGTAGAACATTGCTCTTCTAACTAACAAGAGAAGCTTCTATTACTCGTTTGCAGAACCGACAGTTTGCATTCGACTGTAAACATATTGTTAATTAAGGTGTATCCTATTATATGATGTATATAATCAACAGTTCCATAATTGTTCTCTTATATATGCTTTGTGGTGTACCATGAAAGGTTCTAAGATTGCGGTTGCAACGTGATTATAAGTTTAATCAGGGAGTTGCAGCAGGATTTGGGGCATCTCCAGCACATAGGAGGCTGTATATGGAACTTGACCATATTGCTATATTTCCAGTTGCTCTGGTGCAGCTGATCTGGTTTCAGACTGGAGGTCAACTTTATAACGTGCACTCTACTCCTTTTTTTTTTTTTCATAGATGAATTGGTCAAGTTAATTAATTACTTAATGATCACTTAATCCGGTGGTTATTTAATTCAAATTGAATAAATTAGTGACTAGAATATGTGCATTATGTGATTCAAATCATTACCTTTTCTTTTCTTTTGCAGAAATTAAATGGCTAATGCGATTCTCACATAGTGTCTTAGGTAAATGCCTATGTCAATATGTCATGATATGAACCGTGTCGTAGTGACGCCTGACGTTAGATGTTACTATTATATATAAGATATCATTTGGGATAATTATTAACAATGATAATTATAATACAGTAATATTAATACCCCTTGCAATCATTGATTATGGTGATTAAGACATTTTTTATCATTCATCTTTTAAATATACTTATATATGCTCTCACTTGATTGTAAACATTGATGAAAGGATGTTGGACGGTTATAAATTAAATGTGAAAATTGTTAATTGATGAGATACTTTAAATAACAAGCATTGATTCAAATGGAGTTTAGCTAACTCAGAATTTTGTGAGATGGGCTCAACAATGACTCATTCCAAGCAATACAACATTTGAAATAAAAATCTCATGAAATTCACCTTTATTGCCCCAATCAAGTCTTAGGCTGTTGCACCATATTTATTTTATATACACACGATTCACAGTCTTCTTAAATTACTACACGGTACTTTGTGTTAAAAGAAAGACAAAAACCAAAATACGTTTAATTTTTTTTTTTTTTTTTAAAAAGTAAGAGAAATCTTGTACTTTCTTTTCAAACACTTTTATTTCATCCATTAACGTATAAAATAAAATAACATGAGTAAGATAATACCATAATTACCATTTACAAAAATTAAAAACACCCTAGAGATGAAAACAACTCAACCACAGAAAATGTGAGAAATGAAAGCAAACTCTAAAGCAAATTGAAAAGGTTACCAAAGAAACAAGCAACTCTTTCTTGGTATTGCTAGGCAAACTTAAAACAGACACATGTAAGAAAAATAATTGCAAGAATTCCCTACCTTTTTAGTGGCTTCCCTTTATTTATTTTTATTTTTGATTGTTTTAAAGGAGAAAGCAAAAAGAAATTAAAGGGTCATGGAATACTATGACTCTACGAGTACTATATTTGACAACCTTTACAACCGAAGTTTCCTCCATACCACAACCCCACATTATAGGGGGGTATAGTCTTTGCACATTCCCATAATTTTATTTTATTTTTCTATTTCAGATTTTATTATTTCTCTCTCAAATATAAGTAAAGCAAATTAAGACCTTAAATTTTTGCTCATATTGAGAATGAGAGATGGGATGAAGGAAGCAAAGAGAGAGTCAACTTAGAGAATGTACAAAGATAAACTGGTTTCTGCCATTTTTCGCCGTTGATCCAGGAATCAGAAAGGATTGAAGAAATCGTCGTAAAAGTAATCGGCCAGAACTGAAAAATGTTGCAGAGGGCAGCAAGCAATGCATATTCTTGGTGGTATGCAAGCCATGTCAGGACTAAACAATCCAAATGGCTGGAACAAAGTCTTCAAGGTATGTTTGTTTGACGTACCATTTTGCTTCTTTTTTCTATCATGTTTGATTATTTCTTTGGCCATTTTGTTTCGATCATTCCTGCAACAAAAGCATAATCAACATCTATACTAATTCTGACATTTATTAGGAAAGGATGAAAAAGTCAAATGAGATCACATTAATCTCTAAAATTTTGATTGTAATGAAACAATTTTGTTTAACTGGATTATATCTAATTAATGTAACATATCAATGATCTTAAGGAAATAGTATGATCATGCATGCAATAAATTCAGAAATTATAAATTAAAGTTTAGGATATATTCATCTATATTATAAATCGCATTAATGTTGTAAGAAAAAAAAAAAATTGATGAAATAAGAAAGTCGCATACATGTATAAACTTAGCTAAAAAAAACTGATAAAATAACTAGTCTATGTATATAGCTTAATATAGGTGATTTTATGCCAAATAAAAAAAAAAAAGGCTAATTAACAAAAATGAAGATAAATGTGGATTCTGCAGTTCTACGGTTGATGAATAATTCAGAAGCATTGTGGTTAATGATGAAAATACTTCATCAGAATCTAAATAATCATCTTATAGATTCAAAAGCTCTTTAGAACTGCTTTGTAATTTAAAAATGTACTAAGTATTTACCAAAGATTTTGTGACATGCTGCAGATATGGGAGATAAGGTGGAAGCTGTGCTTAAACTCATTGAAGAAGATGGAGACTCCTTTGCTAAAAGAGCAGAAATGTACTACAAAAAACGGCCAGAGTTGATAAACTTTGTCGAAGAATCTTATCGAGCTTACAGGTCCTTAGCAGAAAGATATGACCATCTTTCGAAAGAGCTACAGAACGCAAACAACACACTCGCATCTGCATTCCCAGATCAGTACCAGTTTCCAATGGATGATGATGATGATTATAACACCTCGAAAATGCCTAGGAAATTTCAAGACAGATCACCCAACCCAAACATCCCACAAGCTCCACAAAAATTCCCTACCAAAAATATTAAGGCTATCATGGCATTAACATCAAAGTTGAAGAATAACCCAGCTCCTAGGAATATGCCTAAATCAGGAGCTCATGCTAAGAGATTACCGAAATCTGGTCTGACGATAACAGAGGCTATCAATGAGATTGACAAGCTTCAGAAGCAAATTCTGACTCTCCAAACAGAGAAGGAATTTGCAAAGAGTTCTTATGAAAACGGGTATGCCAAGTACTGGGATATTGAGGAGCAGATAAGTACAACACAGGAAAAGATCTCTAAGTTACAAGATGAATTTGAGGTAGCCCAAGTTATCGAGGATGATGAAGCTCGGACTTTAATGGCTGAAGCAGCTATTAAATCATGCAACGATACCTTGGCACAGCTGCAGGAGAAGCAGGAGAGAGCAGCAGTGGAAGCAAAAGAAGAGCAGCAGAGGATTAAGGATGCTCGTAACAAGTTAAACTCTCTCAAGGGTGAGTTTCAAGGCAATCCGACTGATACCTCTGAAAGCAGAGATCCCTTGAAAGCAGAAGAAGATCAAACTAGCATTGATGATGAAGCAGCTGGTGGTTTGAAAGAATCTAAGGATCTAGAAATAATTCGGGACAAGATTAAAGAGCACTTTGATGTGGGTGAAACTGCATCGCTCAGTGTGTTAGAGATGGCTGAAAAGATCGATGAGCTTGTGAACAAAGTGATCAACCTAGAATCTTCTATGTCTTCTCAGACTGCTCTAATACATAGATTAAGGTCAGAGACTGATGAGCTACAAACGCAGATTAAGAGCCTTGAAGATGACAAGGCAAACCTGATTGCTGGTAAAACCAGATTAAGGTCAGAGACTGATGAGCTACAAACGCAAATTAAGAGCCTTGAAGATGACAAGGCAAACTTGATTGCTGGGAAAACCACTCTAAGTGACAAGCTGGGTGAATTGGAAAATAAGTTGAGAGGACTTCAGGATCTAAATGATAGCTTCAATAACCAAAATAACAGCCTAGAAAGTAATTCAACTGCAGTACACTCTGATCTTGATATAAACTCGAAGAAATCACATGATGTAAAGATAGAGACGGAAAATAAGTTGAGAGGACTTCAGGATCTAAATGACAGCTTTGATAACCAGAATAACAGTCTAGAAAGTCTTTTAAATGAAAACCACTCTCATCTTGATATCAACCAGAAGAAATCACATGATGTAAAGCCAGATGAAGGAGAGGCCGAGCAATCAACCAAGTCCTTTGAAGGTAAAGGGTCCACAGAAAATGTGGACTTGAAGAAAAGAGTAAGTGATACGAGTACCTCCAGTCTTACTCAAGATGAAGGACAGAAATTTGGTGAAACAGCTCTACTAGAGCCAAAGGATGAATACTCACATCCTTTGAAGACAGATGATACTCATCCACAGGAATCTAAACCAAGCACCATTGAGTATGATCAACCTCAACAATATTCAAACAAGATAGAAGAGGAAGCAGTATGTTCTCAAGTAACTCAGATACAGGATCCTTCAATTCAGCCAACATATCTGCCAAATACTCCTCAAGAGGTTGAACCAAGAAACTTGGTAGGCATGCCAAAAGATGAGCCATATGCACCACCAGCAGTGCAACCATCAGCAGTGCAACCATTAGAAGAAAGAAGAAAAGAAGAATATGAGCCGGACTGGCAGCAGTTATTCACAAATGGTTTGGAGGGAAAGGAAAAAGTTCTCTTAGAAGAGTATACAGTAACTCTTCGAAACTACAAGGAAACCAAGAAGAAGCTTTATGAAGTAGAGAAGAAAAATGAAGATAGTTTCTCAGAGATGAAGAGTTCTCTTGTCACAAAGGATGAAGAGATCCACTCCTTACGCCAGAAATTGAGCGTTCTGCAAAAAAGGTTGGACGAACATAAAAACGCAAAAGAGAAGGATATGGAGACCTCTCAAGAGCCATCACCTCCCCTTGAAGAAGAAGATGATGATTATGATATAAAAGTTATTGCTCCAAGTGAAGAACAAGAGATCTCAGCAGTTGAACAGAAACTACGGGCAGAGATGGATCAGATCCTTGAGGAAAATCTAGATTTCTGGATGAGGTTCAGTGCTTCATTCGGGCAGATCCAAAAGTTTCAAAATGGAGTTCAAGATTTGCAAGCAGAATTAGCAAAACTTGAGAAAAAACATGAGAAGAAAGAAGGGAGTAGTCATGGGGATACTCACAAGACGCTTTTGAAATCAGATGTCAGGCCAATATACAAGCACCTGAGAGAGATACAAACAGAGTTAACTGTCTGGTTGGAGCAAAGTGAAAATCTGAAAGAAGAGCTACAGAGAAGATTTTCACAGTTGTGCCACATTCAAGAAGAAATAAAGCTAGCTCTAAGTGATGGTGCCGAAGATGATGACATGAAGTTTACCAGTTTTCAAGCTGCGAAATTCCATGGAGAGGTAGCAAACATGCAACAAGAGAATAACAAGGTTGCTGATGAGCTTCAAACCGGTATGGATTATATAACGAGTCTCCAACTTGAAATGGAGCGTACCATAGCCAGGTTGAATGATGAGCTAGGATTTTCTACCTCACAAAACCAATATGAAAATGAGAGGTCTGAAAGCCGGGCTCGGGTGCCATTAAGATCGTTCATTTTTGGGGTTAAACCACAGAAGAAAAAGCAATCAATATTTTCCTGCATGCATCCAGGAATGATGAATCGGAGATACCATCATCTAAGATCTGACAAGTCACCTTAGAATCACTAAGACATATTCTGCGTTTTTCATCAGATACATTTAATTTGACAGTATTGTATCTATGCTTTCTGATATTTGCTGATGATATTAGATAGAGGTTATAGGATCATCTGTTCAGTATTTATGCATTTTTGAGGAGAAATCAGTTGGTATGTGTAAATTAGTATATAGGTGTTTTTTTTTTTCCAATTCTCAGAAACACTCTTTAGTTTTGAGTCAGTTAAGTTTATTGATAATGAGCATGAAAGCAAAGATTTTCTCTAATGACAGAGACAAGAAAACAACCAGCTCACTTTCCCCCGTCCCTTCTAATGATCAAGTGGTCACTCGTTTTCAATTCCTAGTCCATATGATTAATGACTAGTTTTGTCAATACTACCTATGGATCACTATATAACCCTAAGAAACTTGGGTCTTTCTGACAAAACATTATTCTGAATTATTTCCAATTCAGTGAGAGCTCATACCAGAGGAAATCAAGAATTAGCCCTATCATTTTTATTTATATTGGAGTCATGGAGATAAGCCTACAATGACCTTTTTGTATTTCTTGCATAACCTCTTAAAATAAGGGTTGGGAAATGAGATTATATGTCAAGACTCCTAACTAATGGTTTTATCCTTTGTGTCCCACCCTTTATTTTGGACACATTACTAGCATACAATCAGATATTTAAAAATATGGCACATAGATGATGTGACATAATCAAATGTAATGAGACACAAGATGAGACATGCAATAGGAAGAATGCAGATTATGAAGCCCTTGGTAAATTTTTTGAACTGAAATGGAAACTTGAGAAAAAAAAAAATCCCTATTTTTATCAATTTTGTGTGGTTTAAACTTTAAAGAGACATCAACCAAGTTGAATTAGTTCATAATACATGTAAAGTCCTCAAAAAGAGTTTTATATAGACCTAAAATATGATCATGTTCACGCACAAGAAGTTCGTGAACCTGCAGCATTTGGGGCACCAAGTCTTGCAGTTATGTAGTGAAGGACACCTCTGACACCACTTTGGCTCCTCTTCCCTGAGCCATGTAAAGACCTATATGATGCATCAAATCCTGCATTAAGAATACGAAAAGAACAAAAGTCAGCACCACAACAATAAAGCATTTATAGAATATTTTATTAGAAATTTAGAACTCTTGCAGAACTGTTTGATTGAACTACAAACTAGCAATTAGAATCTAACTATGCCAGATTCATATATCATTTAAGTTCTGAATTCGTCGGTGCCTACATTTTATCATCCAAAAACCTGACAAGGGCATAAATAATAAGCTTTAACTGATGGAGAGTCACTTAGAGCCCCAAAGCCTGAGGCCAAAAATTACTAAACAGACGACTCAGACGGGAATGATCCTTTCTGCCCTGCTATACTGCAAACTATGTCTAAATAACTTAAAATGTGGTGTGAGATATATTAATACGTGAAATAAAGAGATATTTGATTACCTGCGGATGTGATATTGCATCTTTGATTTCTGCAATATGCAATGGAAGATCATAGGTAGCACAAGCTCGAGAGTACAAAATCACATCTTGCAGAGGAGTAAGGATGCCTCGATTTCTGGCTGAAAGTGCAGAGGATACAAAATCCAACACACATATATCTGTACATATACCCACAACCAAAACCTTCGCCAAAAATATAAAACTTAAATCATTCACACTATCTTCAATTCATATAAAAATAGCTAGAGCTCACAATTAATCGAATTTTCTAACATTTCGAACTTAACACTGGTACCCTATGGTAACTACTACAACAACAACAAGGTAGCTTAGGCCAGGTAGCTTATGAAATAGGAGTATTCAAATGCAATGGTATAAGAACAAAAGTAACACTATATTACAAACAATACAGAATTTCTTTCAAACATACTTCACACCTACATTTCAAACCACTATCTAAACAATTGAACCAAGAATGCTATACAAGAGGTTTAAACCAACTTACAGCTTTAAGCTTGTTTGCTTTCACCCAATCAACAAACACATTGGATCCATCTTTCTCAATGGAACCGAGAAATCCATCAATGCAATCTTTAAGCCTCATTGTTACATTAGCTTCACCTTCCAACCATTCCAATTCTACCATTCACAACAACAATAATAATTAAGCCGACAACAACCAAAAATTAATAAAAATTCAACATAGCTCCAATATGACAATGCACCAAATCAAGTGCAACTTCTTTCTTCCATGTTTTCATGCACTATTTTTACAAATATTGTTAAAAATATCTAGATGAATTCAATAAACTTCAGAAAAATTCAAATTCATCATACAAGCTCAAATCACTATTAAAAAAAAAAAAAAAAAAAACCTGGAACAAATTTGGATTCAAAAGTGCCAGCAAAACAATGAGGAGGATAAGGAGGTTCAGGAATAAGAGGATCATGAGAATCAAGGAATGCGAAAACCGGCCATTTTTTATCGCAAAAAACCCTAGCTAATTTCGCCGATTCTTCCACCATTGCTACGATTTGCTCATTCGGCACTTTCGGAGCCTAATTATCAACAAAAACGTTCAAAATCAATTCGAATTCCAACAAAAAACCAAAAATTCTGCAAAATCAATCGAAATGAAGAAAGAGAAGTAAGTACGAGGTTTCCAGCGCCGACGGTGCAGAAGCCATTGACGATGTCGACGAGGACAAGTCCGGTGGAGCAATCGTCGGACAAAAGCAGAGTATCTTGTTTCAGAGGAAGTTGTTTCTGAAGTTCATCAATGGTTTTTGATGTTGATGCTACCATTTTTATGGTTTAAGGTTGAGAATTCAGAGAGAGGAGAGAGAAAATGAGAAGGGAAGAAATCGGAGTTGGAGAAGTTTGACGGAGAATAAAAGTTGGTTGTATTAGAGTTGCAGGAGGATCAATATAATAGACCAACCTGAATAGCGTGACAGTCAACGAAACTTCTTTTTCAATTACTCCAATTTAGTCAATACAGCGATAGTTTGTTTGATGGGTTTTTTTTTCATTAAACAGGTTTTTTTTTTTTAAAGAATTAAACAGGTTTTTTTTCTTTGTACTGGTTTGATCATTGTACAATCAAAACTCAATTTTGATGGGTTTTTTTTCATTAAACAGGTTTTTTTTTTTTTGAAAGTATTAAACAGGTTTTTTTCATTATACTGGTTTGATCATTGTACAATCAAAACTCAACTTTTTATCAATTACTATGTACTACGTATTTATTTGTACACATTGGGATTAATGGGCATCATTGGTTTGTCGTTATAAACTTTATTTTCATTGTTGGTGTATGTGTAAATTACCTTAAGTAAATGTAGTAAAAGTTGATGGACAACAAACACCAAGCACATCATTCTCTAGATCATTTTGTTATTTTAATTAAGTGAATGTTAGCTTAGTTGGTTAAAGTCTTGGAGTGGTACCTAAAACATAGATTAAATCTCGTCTACATCATTACCTTAGGCTCTCTCTACACCAAAAAAATGTAAATTTTAATCAATTCTCATGTTTGAAGATAGTCATTTTGTGTTCAACATTGTAGCATTACGTCTTTAAGATTCGGTGATTTTAAGATTTGTGTTAATTTGATTTGAAACTAACATTATTCCTTTAAAATTCTAGTGTAAACTGATGGTATTCTAAGGAATACTATTCTAGTAATACATGGATGTTTTGCCTTCAAGGACTACCAACCCAACCAAAACTGGTTAAATACTCCCTTATAGGACTTACCTACCTTTATGCATTGATTTTTAACGTTATAATATACTCCCTTCGTCATTTTATTTTTGCCCCATTGCCATTTTTAGAGTCAACCTTTGAAAACTTTGACCATAAATTACTGTTAATTTATAAAAGATAATTAATCATGAGTGGTCTTGTTAGATTCGTCTCATTGTATATTTTATTAATATCAAGTTTTTATAAATTTTACGCGTATGGAAATAAAGATATAAACGTTTTAATACGCGTCTTGGAGACCATGCACAGTTAAATGGGGCAAAAAAATAGGGACAGAGAGAGTACGTAGTAACAAACTTGGCCTGCTTGTTACCATAATCTCATGACTCCTAATTTCCATCACGTCAGGTCACCATTCAACAAAAACAGAATCCTGTGCCCAAAATTTGTTGGGGATTACTAAACGCCACAATGAAATTACTTAAGTCGCGGTAATAAATGACCGCTTAACCCTTACTAGTATGTAATTAATTATTGTTATGTTATTCACAAGTATAATTGTTTTTACTAATTCATAGATTTAGTTTTGGCATTTGCTTTTGATTTGCAAGTAAGTTAATATTAAAAAAGTCATCATAAATTTACTAATTAAATTAAATATATTTTGTTAATTTTAATTATTATTATTAACAAATAATTAAAATATTTAAACGAAAAAAACCTTAACAGTACACGACCGTATGTAATATGCAACTGCACCATGATATGGCTGCGTATTACATGCAACGATACCATTGTATAGTCGCCTGTAATACACAACTATAACTATACCATGGTATAGTTGCATGTAATTACATGCAATATTACATGCAACTATACCATGGTATGGTTGCATATTACAGACGGTCGTGTACACCGAAATTTGAAAAAAAAAAGTTCGACATATATCTGACTCGACGACGTCGAAGGTTCGTCGTCCCCACCAAGTGCCTCCGATATAAATGCGGACGATCTTCGGCTCATTTAAGTGGTCGGAAAGTACAATGTTGGTGGTCAACCGTTGTGGAATCAATGGCGGAGCTAGAGGTCAAGCTAGTTGTCAAGGTGGAGCCGTGATAGTGGATGGTCAAGGTTAGTGGTGTTAGTGGTGGAGCTTGGATGGTCAAAGTTAGTGTAGTGAAGTCAAGTTAGTGGTGGTGGGTCAAAGTTAGTGATGGTTGGATAAGTATGTTATTTTAAAAATTAAAGGGGGCATGGAGGTCATTAAATACCAAAGCTTGAGTAATTTTGTTGTGGCAAATAGCAATTCACAATTTGTTTTCTGAAAACAGAATACAAAGGCCAAACAACTACTGAGTAGTAAGACAGCCCTTTTACAATCTAAATTTCTCTAGTCTCTCTGTAACACCCCAAACAGAGTACATAAGAATGCTTCATACACGGTATATGGTTCTCTCTCCTGTTGATACTCGAAACAGCTAGGAAAAGCCATATTGACATCGGTAGGTGGTAAATTGGTACTCTATAGAAGGGAGGTGTTATAATTTAACATTACCAAACATACAACGGTCACTGTACAAACAACATTTAAGTCCTAAAACTATAACATGTGACCCGAAAGCGGCAAATGAAGAGGCTTTTTCAGAAGTTTTTCCCCTTGCCTTTGCCTTTGTCAGCATCATCTTGTGGGAGCTGTTTGCCCATAAGACCAAGCAGGTTGGAAGCAGGACCAGGGAGGCCCTGCTGAGAAGAAAATGAATCAAGCAAGCTCTTCACAAGATTCACATCTACATCCACCGGAGCAAAGTCCTCATCCATGTCTTCTTCTGTAGCATTTGACATACCCTGTACACCGAAATCGATCAGCAATAGGAACATTATTTCTATACTGCATATTGTGTTCTAAAAATCCCCTCAGAAAAATTAATCTACAATAAATGCTGGAAATGAAAGCACTCTGTACAAGGGCAATCAACCAAGAAAAAAAAAAGGGATCAAGAAAAACCTCATCTTTCTTGAGAGATTGATCAGTTGCCCGTACAAAGCTCTTCTTAAGAGTAGTACTTCTCAGCTCTTCATTAAGAGCATCTGTATAAGCATTCATAAAATCCCCCTGCTTCTCTTCACTATGGTCTTCAGGTTCTTCCATATCACTCTCGTCCTCGGACTCATCTGCACAATTTGATCATCGGTCAAACCTAATCAAACAAACAAAACACATGCAAATATGCCTATACATAGAAGGTTAAAACAAAAGACCACTATTTCAGCCCGGGGGGGGGGGGGGGGGGGGGGGGGGGGGGGGGGGGGGGGGGCTTTATTCAGGCAGGTAGCCAATACAGAGACATCCACCAAAACTCAGGCTAGAGTGCACATCACAGTATAAAAAATAGACGGAAAAAACCTTCCACACAAATCAAGGCATCAAATAAATTAACACACCTATATGGGAACACAAGACCAGTATAATAAATAATGAAAACTTAAAGCAGCACTGCAACATAAGTCTTTGACATCCATAAACATTAGCTTTTCAGTACAAACTTTAACTTGTCTCTTTTTGTGGACATTCAGGCAGCAAAATTTCTTTAAGGTGAGGACGAACAGAATCTTTCATGTTTGAACACTACGTTATCTATTAACTCAGCACAAGCACCAATATTAGACTTCCATTGACCACTTCTCATATTAACTATTGACAACTACAAAGCGTAATAACTTGGCAGATTTTCAAGTCATCTAGACATCGACGAAGATGGCAAAGGTCTTCAAGGGAAAGATTATCGTTAGTTCGTTACAACTTTTTTTTTTTTTTTGGTTTGAAACCTATGACCTCCTCCTCTTGGAGAGAGGATGTACAACAGTTGAATCATTAACATTAAGCTAGGGTATAGCCTGGTTGGCATTTTAGAGTGGAAGGAACCCAATTTAACAGATCATACCCCCAATGGCCCAACCTCCCTAAAGTAATAAATCTTACCAAAATCCATGTCAGAAGAAGATCCTTCCTCTGCATCATCATCTTCACCACCAGGAGCCCTTGTTACTGATTCAAGCTCTTTCATGAAACGATCCATGTCAAATTCCACATCTTTCAGGTCTCTAAGATCGGAGAAAACAAAATCAATTAAACTTAAAGCACAAAAACACAATTAATAGACACCTTTTTCCAGTGGAATAAGCATGAGTAATCAGTATGCACGCAAACAAAGAACAGCATTCCAACTAGCTAACCTAAAAACATGCAATGGCAAATGCCAACGATTTCTTCAACACCCCCCCCCCCACACCCCAACAAAAAGAAATACTCGTAATAATAAATAAAGTTATGTGCATATAACTTCTGTAGTGCTACTGAGCATTAGTAAAAGCTGTCAAATAAAGTTTTAAAAGGACACTGACTATACTGAAGATTTTTCAAGAGAAATGCCTCTTATCCAAGAAAAGTTAACACAAAGAACTATTTTTGAATTATTTACTTGGACTTGAGTGCAAGTGTCGGAACGGAGACATCTCCATGTGTCAGACTGCTATTATATGAAAAATTTATGTGGTTTTGGTTCCATAGTCCATACCCATGTCAAAGATAGGATCTAGCATGAGTACTTGAGATGAGATAAAGAGTCCAGATAAGAGATTAAACCATTTACCATATTGGCAAGATATCATTTCCTTGGACCAATGAAATAAAGGGAAAATCCAATAATAGTGCTCAAACAAATTATGCCACAATTACATAGAATACTTGTGAAGTCCAAATAGTCCTATAAGAGTGAATGAGATATTCTTGTAGGAATGCGTGAGCAGCCTAAATAGAAAGGAAGCAGTATCCATATGGGAGTTCTCACAGACACTTCACACCGAATTTACCAATAAGCAGAGAGGAGATTTATATACTTCTTCCGTTTTTTTTAATTGCATCACTTTTATAATTGCGGACTCCTAGGCAATTTTTAGTGCAGAGAGAGATATAGAGAGAAAATAAAGAGGGCCACGTGAGAGAAGAAAGATAGAGAAAATTTATTAACTAAAAGGGAAAGTGATGTATCTAAATTGAAACTTCCAATTTTAGAAAGTGATGCATCTAATTGGAAGTATGACATAATGACATACTGACATGAGATCAATCTTCTAGGAGTTAAGGCTTAACAATTAAAGCACCAGGAATCATCAAGTGACCAAAAAGGCATCAGATTTGAAAAGTGATGTTACGACACCAGTCTGCACAAAGCCCAAACAAGTAAACATCACAACAGAGTAGGAAACACTTGGCACCCCCACGTGGGGCATCAACAATCAAGTCTATAACTAAAATTTTGAAAACACTAATCAAGTGAAGTAATCAAACTACAAAGAGCTACAGAAGTACAGAGAAAGACTATGAAACACTAAAACCAAGGCAAACAGAAAATGATAATAATAACCAGATTCTATCAAAGGCAAAAGGAAGAAAAATCAAAGCTAGTTTGAAGTATGCAAACCTGTCATCAGGTACTTCTGCTCCTTGGTAACTTGATACATTTTCTACAAATGACTTCATGGACTTTGCTATTTCTCCTAAATCAAAATCGTTCTTATTCAGGTTGGATGAATCATCATCATTGACCTTATCCTTTCCTTTCTGTTTCCTTTTCTGCCGTTGCTCATAATTGTCCATTTCCTTTTGTCTCTCCTCAAGAACAGATTTCAACTCTTCCTCCCCGCCATAAAGCCAAGAATCATCATCAGATGAAGGCACTTCCTGATCCTTGAAATCATCAGGGGAATGTGATGAAGCAAGAATCTCATCTATTCTCTTCACTGGAGCACTTAAAATTTCACTGTTTCATCCAAACAATATTAATTATTAAAAGTCAGGAAAGATAGGTTTTAACATAAAATACAGATGCAAAATAATCATTGTCACAAATGCAAGAGAGTCAAAATTTACCCCAGACGAAGGATACAAATCTTTTAATTGGTCTAAACAAGGTAAGCTATGAATGATAAACTTTTTTTCCCAAATTTTTGTAGCAGCCACAATTTGTGGACATATAGCAACTGGTTCCCAGAACAATTAGATATGAGAACATTGTGTACATATTAAACAAGAATTTACGTAGGAAAAATATAACAAGTGTGCTTAAAAAACAGTTTCAGACACTGAAAAGTGAAAACATCAACCAAAGTTAAAGGTTTTTGATAACTAATTAGCCATTATTATACCTGGTCCTATAATGCAAGGCACTCTTTCTGTAGTATTCCTCTGCCTTCTCCATCAATTTCTTGTACTCTTTAGATCCTGGAAGCAGTCCCTTAAAATACCCACTCTTCTTCAAACTCTCCCAAAATGCCTCCCAAGTACCTCCTTTTCCTTGCTCTCCTTCCCTCTTCCTGTGCTGATAAACCATTTCAAACCCACAAGCAATCTTCATCCCCAGCTCAGCCTCAGTGTATGTAGTCTGATCTGTCCTTGGTGGCATGGGCGGCATGGGATAACACTTAGGAGCCTGAAACTTCTGCTGCAACAACTGAGCATACATTGCCCTCGACATCTTCACAGATACCAGAACCAGCTCCTCCTCACGACCCTTAGGCAAGAACTTCTCCATGTTTGCAGCATATTTCATTGAATCAATATCACGATCATAAAATCCCTCAACTGCCAAGGAAATTAGACAGGGCTCATGCCTCAACACCTACAATAAAAAAATGTAAAAATTAACTCAATGAGATCTAAAAACATGCAAAATGTAAGCAATCTGACACTGCAAGAAAACACACAACATAAAAACTAATAGCTCAACCTTCATTTTGTACTCTCAAAAGTATGAAGTAATAGCTCCAACTTTGATACTTTCTTAGACACCCTAATAAATTTGGTCAATTACACTAATTTGAATTCGAATCCCTAATAAACACATTGAACTCCCCATTATCATTAAGCAGTTTATCAGTTAAAAATCATGTTTCACTCTGATGTCTTACTCCGTAATATTATTTAAGGTTCGAAAATTACTCAATTTCTTTCTCTTTTCTAGTTTTACTTCAACCTAACTCAACCTATACTAATTCTTTTAAGACAACCCATCCATTGCACAAGTAGAAATAGTAACTTCCAAAAGTTGAAACATCATCATTTTACTCTCGTCGAATGTATAAACAATAATGTAATCGGACTTCCAAAGTTCAAGCCCAATCAATACTTCTAATTGAACCATCACTTACTCTCATAACTAAGAAGTATATATATATAATCAATAATTTGAAGCAAATGTAAAACCTTCTCATTGCTTCAAAATTAAAATAAATCATGTCTACACTACTAAGCTTAAATGAGGTCTAATTTGAGAATTATACATACTTCATTGCTTCCAAATTATATAAATATAAGTGGACCTCATCAAACAACTGGTTTAAATAAATTAAACTAACGTTAATTCCAATCAAATTGCATTAGGTTAACATAAAACAACGATTACAAGTAAATAAAAAACAATAATAGGTCAAATTAATCACCTGAGCAACGGAAACCGGAACCCTAACCCTAACACGGTGAATATTACGCCTCGCTCTTTCAGGATACTCCGAAATCCGACCCTTAATCGCCGATTGAACCGAATCCGAAGCCCTAGTAAGCTCAGGATGCTCAATCAACAACTTGAGAGCATCTTTTAAAGTAGGAAGAGAAGGAAACTTCTTCTTCGGAATAATATGAACTTCATTTTTCCGAATAAAAACGCGATTACTAGAATTCTCTGGATTAATCCAACGAGGAAGATGAAAGGCGGCTTCAATTAGAAGAAACTCACCATCAGAATCCCAAACACGAATAGAAAGAGAAGGAAATGAAAGAGAAAGATGAAAGAGGAGGAAGACGACGAACCACTCGTCGTCGAGGTTGTCGCCGTATCGAAGCTTGCCATGGAGGTGAGGGAGGTCGTCGGAGGAGGAGAGAGAAAGGGAGAAAGGTTCGTGTTGCCAAGTGTAGTCGGAGGTGAGAGGAGAGAGAGTGGTGAGGATTTGGAGGTGCAGAGCTTGGAGGTCATCGGCAATGGCGGAAGGAGAAGTTGAGGAGAGAGAAGAGTCAGGGTAGATGGAGTAGAAAACGGTGTCGTCTGGAAGTCTGGAGTGTTTGGTTGAGAAAGGATCTTCGAAGGTTTGGAAATGGTGGTTTGTTTCCGCCATTGTTTAAGGTTGGAGAAGCTTCAAACTTTGTCGCTTAAATTTAGGGAGAGAAAATACACCCCGCGCTTTTGTGGTGTTTTGTTTTGCTTGTGGGCTTGTTGAGTTGCTTCTTGACTCTTGAGAGTTCTCAACCCGAGAGTGTTCTAGTTTTGATTTTGTGTAGTCTAATGGCGGTGTCTAAAAAATTCACTTCACACTCTCGTTATGACTCTCATTTGACAAGATTTCTAGTGTTTTGTGAGACAAAAAATTTATCAAAAGAGTTGAGTTTTGATATTATTTTAAATTTTTTTTTTTTAATGTGCATAGAGAGTCACAAAGGATAATGATGTAGACGGAATTTGATCTCAGATTTTGGATACTACCTAAATATTTAATAAAGCTTTGTGATAAGAAATCCAAGGTACGAGGGAGCATAACGTTTTCAATTACATGATAAAATACTCATTTTACCCATAATATTAACTTGTTATTTGTCATACATTCATTTTTAGAGGACCATTGGTTCTTGAAGAAAGTATAAAGCTAACGATAAATATCAAGCCAAAATACTTAAAAAAATTAAAAAAATCAAGTCAAGATTTCTCATGTTCACTAGAAATAATTAATGGCTCTTTAGCCACAAAGTATGGTTTTAGGATAAGGAGTATTGAGGTTAATGATTAGTGTGTCATTAGTTTAATAGAGGGAGGAGAATTGAGTTCATTTCATCACATACTACAAACTCAACAAAAGATATGGGACGTTTAAGGAAACTAAGCTTCCCGAAGAAAATAATTACAAATTTGGTTGCGTGGCAAAAGTATTTACAAAAATAAACTTATGGGGTAAACCGCTGCCTCAGGCAGCGTTTTACCCTCTATTTTTTTAAAAAAAAAATTCTGCTACAAAAACGCTGCCCCAGGCAGCGTTTTTATAGTTTGACTTTTTTTTCCTTGTTTATTTTTTTTTTAAATTAATTAAAAAAAAGGCAACAGCATAAAACGCTGCCCCAGGCAGCATCTTATGCTTAAACATAAGACGCTGCCCCAGGCAGCGTCTTATCTTGTTAATGAAACGCTGCCCCAGGCAGCGTTTCTGTCTGGTTGTAAAACCAGAAACTCGAGCTTCGTTTGCAATCACGTTTGCTCTTCATTCCTTCGCCTCCTTCGCAATCCTCTTCCTTCCCTTCCCAAATTTCCTCTTCAATCCTCTTCAACCCAATTTCGTATTACATCCAATTCAAGGTATGGTTAAATATTAGTTGAGTATTTACAAATTGTTCGTTATGTTTGTTGAATTCTTGAATTGTTGGTTAGTGTTGTTGAATTATTGAATTGTTGGATATTGTTGTTGAATTGTTGGTTAGTGTTGTTGAATTCATGAATTGTTGGTTAGTGTTGTTGAATTGTTGGTTAGTGTTGTTGAATTATTGGTTATTGTTGAATTTCTTGAATTGTTGAATTTCTAGGGTTTATGTTGAATTTTGGGGGTTTTTGTTGAATTTAGGGGTTTAGGGTTGAGTTGATGAATTGTGATTGTTAAATATTAATTTGGATAATGTAGAATTGTTGGTGTTGAAATATTGAAGATGTTAAGTATTTGAATTTCTAGAATTATTGCTTGTTAATGGTGACCTAGTGATGCTTAGTTGTTCCAAAGTGGTTAGTTGGATGTGATTTAGAGATGGATTAGTGTGTTTTAGTGTAATGTGTTTTGGTTGTTGTGTAGAATATGGCCGCACAGAATGTAGTTTAATCTACTTTTGAGTTGTTATTTGGTTTGCTGTAACAGATAAAACAATAACATTTGCTGTAACAGATAATACTTGTTAAATCATATTTGTGTTTAATCTATACCGTAGTCAGTGAACAGATACCATGGACAGAGAGGTGCATTTGCCCGGACCGCTTGACCCTTCCGTGCTTACACTCCAGGCCACGCACCAAAGCACTGCCGTATGGGATCAATCGGTAACATTTACTTCCTATGCCAACATACTTAAGAATGCTCCTTGAAATTATCGTTTTACACTTACGTTTATGTATTTCATTTGCAGGTTGATCCCGCGAAGCCGCTTGTTTGCAGGCACCACACAGCCAGAGTAATGGTGGGGTGGGTCGTCGAGGCACGCGTCCTAGAGTACATCGAGCTCGCTGGTTTTGGAGGAATTCACCGGATGGCCTTCAGGGCCATCGACCGAGCGCTTGTGACTGCGCTCGCGGAGAGGTGGAGACAAGAGACCCACTCCTTCCACCTTCCTGTAGGGGAGGCGACTGTGACCCTGCGTGACGTCGCGATACTTACGCGGCTTCCTATACACGGGACTCCAGTGACAGGACGCCCGTTAGTCGATCCTGTAGGACTTGTAGTTCGAGTTCTTGGGGTTCAGCCTGCTCCCGAAGATATCCGGGGAACTGGGTTGAGGATAGGTTGGCTACGAGAGACCTTTGGCGAGCTTCATCACGGTGCTGATGACGTCGCCGTTCAGAGACACGCCCGAGCTTCAGGTAACTCACCAATTAGACAACGACTGGGACCATATCCGTTCGTACAGCTGGGGTAGTGCTTGTTTGGCGATACTGTATCGCCATCTATGCCGAGCGTCCCACCGTGGTGCAATCGAGATCAGAGGTCCTTTGGTCGTCCTTCAGGTAACTCACCAATTAGTGTAATAGTTTAATAGATGAATAGTAAACACTTACGTTTTAATTCGTGTAACAGTTCTGGTCTTGGGAGCATCTCCACGTCGGGCGGCCAGGTAGGCCAGTCAGGCATCGACCGGGGGAGCTGGATCAAGACGAGCAGTACCAGTCGTACGACGCTCCCCCTCTTCCTACACCTGACGAGGTATACGGATGCAGGTGGGTTGCCCCTAGACTCACACTTTCCCATGCGGCGAGGAGTCTACCGTACTTCCGAGACGCCTTCGATCGACTTACTGAGGACCAGGTATTTCTTCACTTGTACTCATTATTCTACTGTCTGATGTGTTTAGCGTTCACTGACGTTTTTTTGATGTGTATGTGCAGGTGACATGGGATCCGTACCTTCCTGAGTTAGTGGAGGCCATGCCTGGTCATTTGCTGGAGCATGAGGCAGAGTGGCGTGCTCGGACCCCGGTGATCTGTTTTGAGGTTGTGGAGAGTCACCTCCCTGACCGGGTCTTGCGGCAATATGGGATACGTCAGCCGGTCCCTCATCCATGTGACACCAGCACTCGTTTGCACGGGGTTGACCGACGAGGAAAGGCAGAGACGGATTGGTCGGTGGAGCATCGTGCGTACGTAGAGCTCTGGCATCGCCGACTGGAGTTCGTTGTGGGCGGTGTACCGATGCAAGGCGTCCTCCAGCCTCACGATCCGTACATGGTCTGGTACCAGCGGATTACCCGGCGTTTCATCAACCCCAGCTACACACCTCCCTCCACCCATTACCATCCAGCATATGACGTGATTTATGGATATGTGAGTTTCACTTCCAACCGATTAATTTTCATCTCTTTTTAGGTTTCTATGCATAACTGATCAATGATTATTGCAGGCGGCAGACATGGCATCGATGGTTGATGCGCTGTCCCTTAGCCTGGCTGACGGGCCCACCGGGAACGAGGTCCAGCGGGTTCGGGATATGGGCATGGCCAGCTTGCGTCGATATGGACACGACTACCTCGTCCCCCAACGGGACACTTATGATGGCCACTCGATGCATTCGCAGTTCGAGCTCGGACAGAGTAGTTGTGGAGGTGATTTTACGACGCCGACATTCTCAGAGGACTACACCTTCCACAGCACTGCGCCGTCCGGCTCCCAGGAGGTGCCAGATACCAGCCAGCTGACTCCCCCGCCGCCTCTAGACCCATTCACCACCATTACTCATTACAGGCGGCGGCGTGTCAGACAGAGGGCCGAGCAACCTGACCTAGATCAATTGCCCCAGATAAATGAATCGGGATAGTGTTAGCTTAGTTATTTCATGTAGTAAAATTTTTGTATAGATTAGGTATATAACATTTACATTTCTAATATAATAAATGTTTTTCGGTCAACATTTGTGTGTTATGTTCTTTGTTTCCCAATATGTTTTGATTTATGTATACATTGACTTGTCAACGGTGGTGGTGGAAGGTAGTGGTGTGAGGTGGAAGGTTGTTGGAGGTGGTGGTGGTGGAAGGTTGTTGGAGGTGGTGGTGGACGGTTGTTGGAAGGTGGTTGTGGTGGTGGGAGGTCGGGGTGGAAGGTGGTGGACGGCGGTGGAGGAAGGTGGTGGAAGGCGGTGGAAGCCGGTGGAAGGCGGTGGTGGAAGGTGATGGTTGGAGGTGGTGGTGGTTGGAGGTGGTGGAAGGCGGTGGTGGTGGAAGGCGGTGGTGGTGGAAGGCGGTGGTGGTGGAAGGTGGAAGGTGGTGGAGGTGATGGTTGGAGGTGGTGGAGGGCGGTGGTGGAAAGGGGTTGGAGGTGGTGGAAGGTGGTGGTGGTGGTGGAAGGCGGTGGTGGTGGAGGGCGGTAGTGGAAAGGGGTTGGAGGTGGTGGAAGGAGGTTGGGGGTGGTGTTGGAAGGATGTTGAGGGTTGGGGCAAGAAACTGGTTTGGTGCTGCCAACCAGGTAAAACGCTGAGGCAGCGTTTTATGCTGTTGCCTTTTTTTTTAATTAATTTTAAAAAAAATAAACGAGGAAAAAAAAAAGTCAAACTATAAAAACGCTGCCTGGGGCAGCGTTTTTGTAGCAGATTTTTTTTTTTTTTAAAAAAATAGAAAGTAAAACGCTGCCCGAGGCAGCGGTTTACCCCAGAAGCTTATTTTTGTAAATACTTTTGCCATGCAACCATTTTTGTAATTACTTTCGTAACGAAGCTTAGTTTCCTAAAACGTCCAAAGATATGAGCATGTAGCGAGTTGATGTATGGATCAAAAACTTGTACAACTAAAGTTATCAATACAAAAAGTTAAGAGTTCAAAGAAGTGGAGTACTTTATCATAGTAATGTGGTGCAATTTTATTTATTGATTGATTAATAGTAATATGGAGCATTTTGATCAACATAAAAGAAATTGTCATCAAAGGGAGCAAGCCTTCGCTGTCTTAATTCTGATCAAGAAGAAATGAGAAAAGGTGGTAACATATAAAGCAAAACAAAGAGAATAATAGAACGAGACTTCAATTTATAAAATAAAGCGAACTACTAGAAAATAGGGAAGATAGTCAAGATACCAAAAGCAAATTCGGTTATAACACTGATTACAGATATACAAGGATAGTAAGAGCTCTCAAAGATCCACAAAG